AGGGAGACTCTGGGAGATTGTAATGTTAAGCATACGATGTGCCATATTGGAGGCTGGAAAGAATTTGCCCCAAATTATGTTAAGAGAGCCTACATTAGAAGTTATATTTGTTTTGCTTTGTGCTGTAATAAGTTTGCAAAATACTAGTTTATAAAAGAGTAGACCGAAGGGAGATATGATAACAGTCTTCAAATATTTGAAAGACTTTCACGTCCTGGAGGGAATGGCCCAATTCTCTGTTGAAACTGAGAGCAGGATAGGCACCAATTAAAAGAAAGGAGTTCAAACTGAATATTAGGAAGAATTTCCTGATGATAAAAGCTGTTAAGGCAGTGAAACAGCCTGCCTTGAATTATGATGGACTCCCTGGCATTGCCCATTGGAGGTTTTTAAACAGGAGTTGGATGGCCACCAGTCAGGGATGATTTAGTGGATTCTTGCATTAACTCCAGTTCTTACATCCTATGATTCTATGAGCATTTCTCTACTCATTAGGTGAAACTATCTGGGATTTATCAGATATGCTGGTCCTTTGTCCGCACTTGTGGTATACATGTAGTTTGTTTGTGGATGAGCTTTGGTACATGGAGAACTCTACCTCAGAAATAAAATATGTGATCCCAAATTCTTATGATGCTAGCATATTCTTTGTTCTGTACTGTCCTCATCCAAATACTTGATGATGTTAGCATGTGTCTGTCATGCAGCTAACTGTGGGCATAATGGGGAGGGTGTGATTTGAGGACAAGGTTAGCAGTTGTCCTAGCCTTCATATATTCACTCAGTGTATATCCTGCCTTTCCATCTGCTTAAATAGCATTAGGCAGGGTGATGCAGCCATCTCAACTGGCAGATGGTTGTAGGTGGCAGCAAGATATCAGAGCAGAGAGCAGTGTTCAAGCTGACTTCTTTCAGCTATACTGGAGAACCCTCTTCCATTCCATTCTTTCTTTTCATTCTGGGTAAGCATGTCTTCAAGGTGGTCAGCAGTACTTGCAGATCTCCATTGCGTATGAACCAAATCCCATGGAATTGAATTGTAGGGTGTAGAATCAAAGGCTGGCCTTGTAATAAGAGTGGCGGTCTTTCATGCTCCATTTGCCAGCTACTGTGTAACATATAGCACCAATTCTAGGTTACAAGCACAGACCCTAGGGGAAGAGGACTCACTGACTCTTGCTTTCCCTCACTTGCCATTTACTTTAGATCAGAGGTCAGCATATGGCGTATGTGGGTGCCAGGGTGCCTGTTGCCCCCAAAGCAAGCTATGATCCTACATGCCATGTCATTTCATACAATCCAATGTAGTGCAGTGTAATACCTATAGATAAAAATCTTCCAAATCTTGTAGAAGTCACCAAATGCTGAAATGTTTCTGCAATTTCACATGAGTTCTGAATGCTGAAACTCTGCAAGGTCTGGCATGAGAACTATGCAATCTCACACAAGATCTAGCATAGTCTCAGACAATTGGCGTGGGGTAGAAGGCCCCAAATTTAGAGGGCAGTACAAGAATGTAAAAAAAAAAATGCTGTTGATTCAGAACAAATCACGTATAGCCCCTTGCTTGCAACAGTGAGCGTCTTATAGGTCTCTGGGAAGTAAGACATGAAAGTAATACTGTTATGTGGCTCCACCATAATCTGTAAAGCTACGTTGCTCCTGTGTATGGTGATTCTATTTACAAATTTCTTACATACCTCTTTAAAGCCATCTAAGACATTGATCATCCCCTTTTTGGCATTGAATTCTACAAATTTAGTCAGTCCAAAAGGAGAAATGCTAAGACTCATGCGTATCTCTTAATCCTAGATATGTGGGAGACTTAGAGCTATTGTTTGTTGTGACTAGAGAAAAGACTATACCTGGCAAAAGGAAACTCTTCT